CCTTTCGTGTATTAGAACAATTATTCTTCGTTCTTGTAGATACTGACGTAATTCAGAAACTTTTTTCGAATGCAAATTTTCCATTGTTACGCTTCTGTGAACAGCAAAAAACAACCCCACTGAGAGTACGCCCCCGCACAGCGAAACCTGGAAATGCATATGTAAATTAGCTGCCATTGAGAACTCGAAAATTGGGAATTGGTTTGACTTGTGTGTGTTCAGTTACATTTATTATTATATATATATATTTGCACAAATGCATGTGTCTTTTAACGTTCACAATAAAATGACCCGATGTTTACAGATACAACAACAGCAATTGTGGCTGGTAGCGTTGTCGGAGGAATTGCTTGTATTTGTGGTATTACTGTTCTCTGTATATGGTGCCTTCCATGTTGTATAGGCGTGCGGACGACGCTTGTCAATGCTTGTCTGTGTTGCACATGCTGTCAAAGGAATTGTAGAGGTAAGACGTTAGAAACACATATGGGTCAATACACACGTTCATCTTATAAAATCACCCCGATTCCCGCACGTTTAATGGTAGACTATAACATATAATACAATCGTGTATTTATAATAATAATGATATTTTGTAAACATAAAATAAGTTCATAAATGAAGGCATTCACACTGATATATAAAAAGTGCCGCATTTCAATTTATAGTACTCTTCAAACTCTTAGTATATACAAAATAAGTCATGTGCATGAATAGAAATTTTAATGGCTCAATACGAACACATTTTCTGAACCCTTGTGAGAACAGAAATCACAACTTTAATTTTTAAGCTTTACATTGAATCTATCGAATTTGTATATGCCAACCCTGAATATATATTATATATACTGGATATACTATGCATTAGTTAATTTTATTTTCTACATATGTTTTCAATTTTGTTTTCCCGAACATTATTGGCTTCCCATTTCCACTGTGAATTTGGTGACAGTTTCGTTCTTAAATATCTAGAAGTTTAACCGGAGAGATTGGAATTATTCTTTATGTTGTTCAACGGAATTCCAAATAACCTTTGGCCATTTGTGCTTTATTCAAAAATCATGATTATTCACACTAAGTGACCATTGATCTGTCGTTTTCAATGCTTAATTGTTTTGTTTTGTCTACAGTAAAGGACAACTCAGCGTCAGACACAGCAGAGCCCAGGTTTGTATTACACGTTGTTCTATTAATATAATTATGATTATTCTTTCTAAAATTGAAAAACTGCTATAAGTCCATACAAGACTGCGCAAGGTTTTGAAGCTTTTGGAATCATCTGTGTCTCACATGTTTTGTAAAGCTTGTCAGGATATTACTGAATATATGCTAATCACACTCAAGGTCTTTATATCATTGCCTCCACAAGAAGATTATTGTTTTTGACAGCAAGATCACTAAAAATTAACCAAATTGTCAAGATGGGTAGTCATTCACAGTTTTGATGTCCGAAGGGTTTCCTTTACAATGAGGAGGCTGACTGGTATTGTGTAGGTGAAAACATGATTTCAAATTTGCATTTAAAAATATGAGTGATATAAAATCAATCGTTTGTAATTAACACTTTTTGGTCTATTTTTATTTTTAGCCTGTGGTCAATTGTTTTGAAATATTCATTTGTTCTCCTTATATAAACTCTACAGTACTGGTAATTCCAATGAGATGAAAGATAATCAAGCTAAAGGTAATGATTACAATGTGGAACACAGCCGATTTATACCCCATGTTAAGGAATCGGGTCGGCCATTACCCGTTTCCACACAGGGAGGATATTTACCTCCACTAACAGGACATTCAATATAATGTAAACAGAAGAAGAAAAAGAAAAAGAAAAGAGGTTTGCATATCAGAATTTCCTCACTCGTTCATACTGTCTGAATGAAATGTTACTCAAAATATCATCATCATTATTTAGGCTCATTGTGGGTGACGTCGAAATCGCTATGCATTGATCAGTGTTGATCAGTATAGTGGTCGATTCTTCATCCTGATTCTCTTATTGTTGTTTGGCCTAATATCATGTGTCTAACGTATTAGGGTCTAGTACAGTCATCTGAATTCACCGAATCATTTTCTAATGGTATTTCAGTTGTTTATCACATTGTTGTGTTTGTTCATGTTCATCTCCATTGAATTAATGTGTATCTTTGAATTTACTTTTTCTGTTGATATTGGTCTGTTTGTAATTAACCTCCTGTGTACTTCTCTTTCCATTCATCTATTTTTTCTCTACTCGTTCCAATGAAATTTGCCCCAGGTTATTGTAATAGTTTGCTCTGTTATCATAATGAGGGTTTCCTTATCTCAGCTGTTTTTCGACTTCTTTCTTCTTATTTTGTTATTACTTGTTTTCTTGTCTCAGTGTCACGTAGTCCTTGCTTATCTCTAATGATGAATTATTGACCTATTGATTGAGTAGTTCACATGCTTCAGTCCGCTACATGTAATAATCTCCCACTACGAAGATGATCTTACTTCCCCATATATGGTGTCAGCATTATCTACTTGACGGTATCACGCCAGAAGTTACTAACATCCACTGCAATTATTTGACAATACATGTTAAAACCGAGGTAATTTAAGAAATAGCCCCAATACAAGAGATTATAGTCCAGTTGTTTTCTTTTGAAAAAATTATAACAAAATCATATTAATTCGAGGATATTTTAACTAAAGTTCACTATATGCAGCTTCTTTCTATAACTACTGTTTTCTAAGTACATTATAGTTTAGCTTGCTTCATAGTCTTTCTAGTGTTAAAGCAATACGTCCTGATGATATGTTTCTCACGTGTCTTTTTCAAATGTTTGGGATGTCTACAGATTATTCGCCCAACTTCTATTGTAAATTCATTTAATTGCAGTTGATATTATTCTGACAGTATTTCCTTTTTGTACGGGTGAAGGTAACTTTGTTATAGTAGTAGGCCTTGTTATACTAATTAGTCACTCACTACAATGAATGTTAATAACAATCATGAAAAATATTTATTAATCTCAAATCTGTGTAATTTGAATGATAATGTTTATATTAGATTGTGTTTTCAATTACTCCAATGTTTGTTTTATGGTAGCGTGTCAGTTCATCAAGTTCAAATCCCGAGTTGTCTATTGTAATATATTTGTAAGCATTTCCTGAAAATTATTTTTAGTCAGTGATTGTACCAGA